CCAACAACCTCTGCAGCCGTGCTGCCGACGGGCGGCGGAGGCTCCTCGCTCGACGCGGCCGCCGAGCTAGCCGGCGCCAGGGCCGCATCCGCAACGACAGCGGAGAGCTGGTCGGCTTCGAGCTTGCATGTCTGCTTCGTCTCGTCCCAAACCATCACCAGTCCCTTCTTCGTCGCACCGCCGCGATCCGGCTTCATCTCGTGCGCGGCGATGCAGCCGCCGCAAGCGCACGGCATCGCAATGCGAAGAGTGTAGGGCTCCGGCGACGGCTCGAGGTTTCGGACCCGCAGCTTTTTGATCCAGGGGGTAGCCAGGTCCTCTTTGTCGAGCGCCCGCGAAAGCTTGCCGCTGTGGGCGAGAGACTGCCAGGAGACGGGGTCGGCCTGTGCCGTGTTGGTCTGTGCCATTGCAATTTGCAAATCAGGGAGCCGGGGGCCAGAAAATGAGTGCTCTCCTCTTGAGGGGCGAGCCGAGAACGATAGAGAGGCCGCGGATGCGGGCGCGGCTCGTTGACCAGGGAGAGCCGGCCCGACCTCCCTGGGCGGGGAGGCGACGCGACCCTATGCCACCGCCCTCGCCCGGGGAAACCTCGGCCGGGCCGTCGATACTATCGATCGGAACCGGTGGAGCCGGGAGATGCCGGCGAAGACGAAAGGCGGCAGCGGAGAAAGCGGCACCAACAACGAGGGAAACGACCATACCGGTCGTCGCATAACGCTCGGGAGACGAGCAAGAGAGCGAATCACGAACTGCGTGATGTGGGCCGTGCAAGCCTTCATTCAGCTGGTGCCAAGACATTCGTAAAATTGAAGCCAAGAACGTCCGCCAAATCCGTGCTAGGGAAAGCTGATCGAGCCCAGCGTGCCCGCGGCCGCCTCCCGCGCAGCACCGCCGCTGGGGACGACACGCTGCGGAATCGGATCGAGCCCATGCACGGGCAAAGAAGGACGCTGCAGAAGCGGCTGGAGAGGCAGCCGGCGTCTGCCGTCACAACGAGTCCCAGCGCTGGTTGGACATGCGCGTCGGCTCGCCCGAGGACTGCTGTCGCGACCCTCCCGTCGTGACGCAGCCTCCGACGAGCTCTGCAACCGAGGAGAGTGAGGGTGCGCCTCCCCTCACTGCTGGCCTGGCTGCGCACCGCCCCACAAAGCACCCCCTCGAGCATCTCTACAAGTACAAGTACAAGGGCGACCTTCGCCAAGTCGTCAACACGCCCGGCGGCTCCGGCAAGACTTTAGCCTTGGCCACCCTCCTTGCGGAGCAGGAGAAGATCCGCTCTCGGTCGGCAACGTGGCAGCTAGTCGAGAGACTCGGTAGTTGTGACCCCCCTCTGTGCTCTGAGTGAGGACAGGAGAGAGAGAGCTTTTGTGGTGTTGGTGTACGCAATAACGGGACAGGGTAGTCGTTCTCTCTAGCTCCCCTTCTAGCTCTTAGCATGAGCTGCGCCCTGTGTCCGACCCCTTTTGCGCAGCAACACCTTAAACTTTTAGGCCCTCCAAATTCGGGTCGGAGCGTAGCGGAGTGGGCCCCGAGTTTGAAAAGGGCGACGGACGCTTGCGTCCTAGCCAGAGGGGCCCCCGGAGGGATGCTCAACCGCTCCACGCCACGCCGCTTGCGGCGGTCCTATTCCCAGCTCCGCTGCACGCTATTTTTCTTTTTTCCGCATACACCTTGCTAGCCGCGCGCGTTTGTGTGGCGCTGGCAAAAAACATGCGGTGCGCAGCGCCGCTACACGGTGGCCAACAACTGGAGCAGCGCCGCTACGCCGACAACACCCAGCGGGTCGCTCGTACATGGCGTCTCCACTCTGCTCGGTGAGCGCGAGCTCTGAACGGCCCAAAGGCAAGGGCATCGTCGAGGTACAGCCGCGGGTGACAATTCACTCCGTCAACGAGATCGACGTCAAGGCGCAGACGTTCGAGATGGATCTGCAGGTCGAGCTGCAGTGGAAGGATCTCGGCTGGCTGGAGAGAATGGAGCAGCCGGACTGGATGGCGGCGGCCAAGGAGCTCGGCTGGCAGGAGCAGATGCGGAAAACCTGCTGGCACCCGGGCCTCGTGCTCCGAAACTGCAAGGAGAAGCGCGACGACGCGGAGGTCTGGTTCCGCGTCGACAGGAAGGAAGAGGTGCACGATGCGCAGGACCGCCGCATCTACTTCATCGCTCGCGTTCACGCCGTCTTCCGCACCAAGTACAGGCTGCACAAGTTCCCCTTTGACATGCAGTGGCTGACGGTGCGCATGGGCTCGTCCTTCGAGTTCGTGCGCTTTGTGCGGCAGGGCGTCTCCAATCAGGCGGAGAAGCCGGACTTCCTCGACCGCGCGGCCTTCATCCTCGAAGAGTATCGCCCGCCGGATTACGTCTGTGTGGAAGCCAAACCTGCGGACAAGGCGGCGAGCTCATCAGCCATCCGGTATCAGGACCTGAACATCAAGGTTGCGGTGCAGCGCAACCACTGGTACTACCTGACGAACGTGTTCCTGATCGACTTTGCGCTCGTCGGCTCGTCGCTCTTCGTGCTGCTGGTGCCTCCCGCACAGTTCGAGGACCGGATGGGCCTCTCGCTCACGCTGCTGCTGACCGCCGTCGCCTTTAAAGAGCTCGTCAACACCTACCTGCCGCAGATCTCCTACTCGACGATCCTGGACAAGTACGTCCTCGCCGGATTCATCATGCAGGTGCTCGTCGTCGTTCAGAACGCCGTCGCAAAGGTCGAGGCTGGCGAGCACGACATCCTGGCGTTCTCGGACACCATGGGCTTTCCCCTCCTCTTTGCGTACCTCGTCGGCTACCATCTCTACTTTCTGTGCGAGGCGTGGCGAGCCACGCGGGAGGACGCCGAGTACTGGGTCCGCAAGGCAGGGGAAAGATCCTTTGAGGGGCAGGACCGGAAGGAGGCCTACAGGTGGCACCGCGTGCATGACGTGCCCCCTCTGGAGAAGGAGGAGGAGGAGGAGGACGTTGACGAGCAGCAGCAGCAGCAGCAGCAGCAGCAGCAGCAGCAGCAGCAGCAGCAGCAGCAGCAGAGCAACGAACCGCGAGAACGCGTTGAGCGAGCACCCGTCCAGCCGCAGAAGAGGGGACGGCAGCTGCGAGCAGCCAACCCAACGAGGCTGCTCCGGTCGGTGTCGCCGAGGTTTATCCGGCCCGCGCCAAACCCGTACGTGCAGATGCCAGATCAGGGCTGATTTTATTTACGGTGGAGACGGCTTGACTGTAGGGTAGGGTACGTTACTGTCGACTGTGGACTCTAGTCTTTTAGCCATAGTAATTAACGCGTATTACAACCACGAGCTCGGACACCTGCGACACCTGCGTGGCTGTGGTGATCTCGTTCCGCATAGATGTTAGATCATACGTGCGTACTGTAGTGTGTAGACAGAGAGCCGCGTGTACAACTGAACACGGTACTAAGCCTTCCCCTTCCGGGCTTCCACAGAGCGTCCGGGCGCAATAATTTACCAAGCATCAAGCGTCTGCGTCGGCGCCGCGCGGCCGCCATGCGAGCAGCGATCCGATGCTGCTGGCCGCGCTGGCGCCCGCGCTCGACACGGCGGACCAGCCGCTCGTCACCGCGGAGCCGGCGGCGCCCAGCGCCGTCGCGTTTGTCCAGTTGGCGAGAGCGCTCGGGCCCGCGGCTTGCTGCGCAGACGAGAGCCCGCCGCCGACCGCGCCGAGCCGGGACATCACAACCTCGCCCACAGAGATGAGGCCCTTGAGCGCGGGGGGCATCGCCTGCGGCGTCAGCAGCGCCGCCTTGAACTCTGCGAGCGAGATCTGGCCGTCGCCGTTGGCGTCCACGGTCTGCAGCAGCGCCTCCACCTCCTCGAAGGAGGGCGCCTTGCCCGCCTTTGCCAGCGCGCCGCGCAGCTCGGCCACGTCGATGAAGCCGTCGCCGCTCGTGTCCACCTCGCGGAAGAGCGCCTCCGCCGTCGCCTCGTCCGGAGCAAGCCACTCGCCAGAGTCGAGCCAGTCGAG